CTGCAAACCTTAAGGTCAGCAGTTTGAAACTACCATCCGCTCCGCGGGAGAAAGATGAAGCTTTCTGCTCCCGTAAAGATTTACAGCCTCGGAAACCCTGTACAGGGTCGCTATGGATCGGAACCGACTTGACGGCACTTAACAACAATATAACATTTACATACTCTCTTGTCAGCTTTATCCCTGTCTTTTAGTTCGCTGCAGTTAGGCATATGTCTTAGTCCTTAATGTTAAACCAGTTATTTCTTGGTTATCTGAAACCCATTCTCTACCAGATCAGTCAAGCAGACTTATGGAAGAGATAGTCTTTAAGGCTTTTCAGGAGTTCAACACACCCCAGCCTACCCCAGTATCATGTGACAGCCCCCTCTATGCCTGCCCTTACAGTTAGTTGGATTAACAAAAACTGACCCTTTTTCAAGGAAATTACTTCCCCATTTTATACATTTGTGTTTCTGGACAAAATGGGGAAGAAGAAAGTCATTTATTTGACAAAGGGTCAGTCTTTGTTAATCTAAGAGGAATTGGAGGGGCCCATCACATGATACTGGGGTGGGCTAGAGATGTGCTGGACCCCTAGTTGATTCCTCACAAACCAGGGAAGAAAGAGATCTGCTTCCTCTCTGGGGTGCAGTTCTCATCACCAGGCTCATTTTGTAGTCTTGATGAGGCTGTCGTTTTCTCTGAATGAAACTTTCATTTCACCCTGTGGGTTTGGCACAGGGTTGTCAGCAGTGAGAGTAATGGGATTCTGTGATACAGTGTTCATCTTGGAGATGTTCTGAGCTGCCCACATCTTGCACAGTTTGATGTAGGCAGGGTTCTTTCACAGTACTTCTCTAAACATCTTGGCAGCCTCAACTTTGGCCTCAGCCTGCACAGTATTTGGGTGCTGTTCGAGTTTTGCCTTTTACACAAATAACTAGGCCCACTGGACTTCCTGCTGGGCCATGTGTTTGACTTGTATAGCAGTTGTGCATTCTTGGCTAACACAAAGTTTTGTGGTAGCTACGTATACAATAAAGCTAAAGTCCTTAGCACTGTGCTCTCATCAGATCAGCAGGGACACCCGAGCCTGCTGGGTGACCAGCTGTGAGATAGTGAATTTGACCACCAAACCCTTGAGTATCTCATTGACAGTAGACAGTAACACTTGCCCCTTGTAGTCGAGCCCTTGGTGCTAGAAACATGCTAGGAACTTCCAGTGCTTTGAGTTGAGATAACATTCATGGGAGATGTTTACCATCTGCAGGCCTTTGGAGCCTGTGTATTTGTCAGGGGCCGTATAGTGACCCTATGCATAGCACAGCAGAACATTTGCCTGGTCCTGCGTCATCCTCACAACTGTTACATATGAGTCCATTGTTGCTGCTGCTGTCAGTCCATCTTGTTTGGGGGCCTTCCTCTTTTTTGGAGCTTGTAGGGGAGGAGATTTTTCAGGGTCTGGCGTGGATATCCTAGATGATGGGATACTAGAACCAGGGGATCCTGAAATGAAGGCATCCTTAGAGGTTGGTACCCTGCTTTAGTCCACTAATTCAATTAAAGTCTGTGTCTTCCTTTAAGAGTGAACACGATACAGCGAGGATCATTCCCACCCCCTCCACACCCAGAGTAGACAGGGATGGGCAACTTGGACATTGGCTACCCAAAATGGGGGGCTATAAAGGCAAGAAGTGACTGGCTTACAAGCTTTCAAGAGGAAACCTAGATCCAGAGGGCATGGAGGGAGGTAGAATCTCCACTGAGTAGTATCCAATCTGTCTGGGCAGGGCTGATGAAAGGAGATGTGGATAGGTCTCTTGTGATACAAAAGTGAATAATTGTTATCAGGACTGATTGTGAGGGTTGGAAATGTAAAGGTAGATGTTTTGTAGCAAAAGGAGGGGAGTGAAGGGAGAAGAGTAGAGAGCGGGACCCTACCCAGAGAAGCAGTGATGCCAGAGATGGAGGCAGAGAAGATGACATGGAGAGATGGAGCAGTTGGGGACTTCAGACACAGAGAGGGAGAGGGGTTGTGTGCTGATGACCCAGGGGCAGGCTTGCTGGGTATACCCTTTGGTTGGTTGATGATGCATGGAGGGGATTGTAACCATGGCAATGAAATGATATACAATAGGATGAATGTAAAGCTCTAATGTTCTTCCATGTAAACGATCACATAATTCACTATAAAACAGTAAAAAAAAAAAAAAAGAGCGAACAAGACTCGCAGGCACTGTCAGCCATGACCTGGGCCCCCAGGAGCAACTTCAGTGCTATACCAGTGCCCTGAGGGCATTCGTTCTGCTAACTCACTCAAGTTCTGAGACTGGCAGGACCAGTGGAAGAAAGGGCCTGCAACTCACCATTAATCCCACCCAGTTTAGGGATCATGTGAGGGGATGGGGCCTGCAATGCTAACAGGAGTTGTAGTCTTTAAACTTGAAGGACACTTGGGTGGACCTAAAATTCTCAGCTAATTTTTTTTTTCCTTTGAGAATCTTAAAAAGATAACTCCATTGTTTTCTAGTATACTGTATTGTAGAAGTTTAATACTGTTCTGATTTTCTTTGCCTTACAGATGACTTGGCTTTGTGTTTATCCTTGTTTCACATGTTTTTCATTTTCCATAATTAAATGAATTTTCCTGGTTCAGGATAGTTTCAAGGACTTTCCCCTCTATTGTCATTGAGAAGACTCAAAATGTAATGTATCTTAGCTACTTTTGTCTTTCAGGATTCGGACTTGTTAGAGAAGGTTTTCTCCCATAGTGCAGTGTAGCTGAGAGTTTTATAGGCTTATCATTTCATTTTGAGATATATATTTTGTTCTTAGGTCTTCTGTCTCCCTGTTTTCATCGTTCATATCCTACTTAATTTGGATTCAGATTCCAAAGAGTTTTCCCTTTGATGAGGTCCTAAGGGTCTCTTTGCTGGATATTCTAAGACTCTTGAGAGTTTCGAGCTTCAGAGCACTACTTGCTGCCGTCTTGACTGTATGCACAGGATTTTGTGTTATCTGCAACTTTGTGGCCTCTAAAACCTTCCCTTTTTTTCACCATTTATCCTCACATTTGCACCTACACTTCCACTGTCCACTCTGGCTCAGGTCCTTTCATTTTGGGATATTTGTTAGTGAATTTTGGGTTCTGAGGCTTCTAGGAATGGTATTCCATTTTCACTTTCTGCTGCTCCCATTTAAAACTGCTGATGTTCCATCATTGTTGGCAGATGAGAGCCACATTCTCTGATGTTCTGAGATTTGTGGGAATTATCCTTTTCCTAGTTGTATTGAAGATGCCATCACTGGGGTTTTCTGACTTCCTAGTGGTTATAATAGTAAGTTTCTGGGGTAGGAACGGCCAATTTACAAATAACTCTCAAACTTCCTTTTAATATTATTTAAATTTGCTCTCATTTTCAAATTATTTGAAGCAACCAACAACAAATTCTTAATCACAATCACTTCTACCTGTTATATGCAGCTTTTAAATAATTAAAAATACTTTGAGCCTTTTCTAGCATTGAAAAAAATCCTACCATCATTGAGTCGATTCCAACTCAAATCAACGCTACGTAGGGTTTCCAAGACTGTAAATCTTTTCAGGAGCACACAGACTTATCTTTCTCCCAAGGAACAGCTGGTGGGCTTGAACCACTGACCGTGCCCTTCCCCAAAATGTAAGACTAAATAGAACTGTATGCACCTGTTCTAATACCCCTACAGATTTGACCTAAAGCCACTGTAACGGGATCTCATTTGTAACCCAGGAACTGCCTGTATTTAGTTTTCAGGGGTGGTCTTTGGGGGTATAAAAAACTATTCATCATTGTGGTGGTGGTTATGTGCCATGGAGTTGATTCCGACTCATAGCGACCCTGTACAGGGTTTCCGAGGCTGTAAATCTTTACGGGAGCAGAAAGCCTCATTAGTTTATGTTAATTGTTGTGGAAGGATTTGGAAAAGGCTATTGAGAATATAACAACTTTGAATAATATAATCAGTGTTATTGAATTGTACATGTAGAAATTGTTGAGATAACATGTTTGATTATGTATGTTTTTACTCCAATAAGATACATTTAAAAAATTCTGTATAATTAAAGCATGAGTAACACATTATTTTATGAATGTAATTGTAAGTGATACATATACGAAACTTGAATTTTTTATCTACAAGTTTTAAGACTACTTTAAAATATAAAATTGCATGTTTTTAACTTTTTTTTTCTTAAATGTTTTATTGTGGATTATGTGATAGTTTACATGGGAGAACATTAGTTTTACATTCATTCTATCGTATATCGTTTCATTGCTCTGGTTACAATCCCCTTCATGCAATCCTTCCTCCATACCCCCCAGGTCTTCAGCACACAGTCGCTTTCCCTCTCTGGATCTAAAGTCTCCATGTTTTTAACATTTTAATAAAGAAATTTTAATATCTGTTTATGACATGTTTAAACAAAAGATGAGATTCTCATCATTAACTATCCTCTTGATTTTAAATGCTGATATGCATCATTTATTTCTGGTTGCAGTTTAAATTGGGTATAGTCTCCTATTGGAAATTTTAGATTAATAGTTTGGTAGATGAAATGATCTATAAGTAAAATTTTAAAGTAAAAATAAAGAAATTGAACATTATTGAAATTATTATATATATAATTGAAATTCCTTATTTGGTAGAAATAAGTATAGTCAGGTAAAGTTAAGGGAAGAAAGAAATGTCAAGTCATTTTCTTGTTTATTTTTACATGTAGTATATGTTGCGTACTTAATCTTTGGATGTTTGAGAAAAAGAAGTGTGAAAATGTGTAGTGCGTTAGTTGGGATTATTTATAATTTTAGATTTTGTTTGACAGTCTTCCATATAGCACAAGCTAGATAAGCATTTTCATTATGAATATTGTGGTGGAAACAGTATTAGTATTTTGTAATTTTGTTAGTAAAGATTATATAGTCTACTGAATAAAATTTCACAGTATGGAAGTCTAAAGTAAATTTGTCAATTTATTATAGGAATTGAAGTTAAAAGATGAAGAATGTGAGAGGCTTTCTAAAGTACGAGATCAACTTGGACAGGAATTGGAAGAGCTCACAGCTAGTCTATTTGAGGTTAGTCTGTTTATATCTTGCAAAGAACAATATCTTAAATTAATTTCATATTGATAGAATTGTTTTTGAGGTAGTTTTGAAAAAGATGACGCCTACCACCGACTCAACGGCACTTAACAACAACAACAACAACCTTGTATCTACGAAACAAAATAAGACATGTAGGATTTATAACTTAAAATTATGTTAAAAAGGAAAAAAAAGAAAATGCAAGTATTTCAGGGCTACCTTGTTGTTAAGTGCCGTCGAGGGGCTATCTTAGAGTAACTTTATATGATTCTACAACAAAGAGTACAAACCTTTTGAGGTGGTCATATGATATAGGATTACTTCTATATATTCTCTCTAGCATGGGACTGAACCCAAAATTTCTAGCCTTCTGCAGCATTGTTTCTTAGTAGGCAGCCATTGGTATTGCAGGAGATTTAGTATCTTTGACTTTGCCCAGAAAATGCTAGTTGTACTGCTTGATCCATTTTGTTCCAATTTGTATGTTTTTCTGGGAGCTGGGGATGGGATTCGTATGGTTAAGAACCATCTTTTGTCTTCTGTGGGTTGAGATCTTTAGCCTCCTTAAGTTCCTTATAAAAAATGCTGATTTAGCAATGAAATTTTCACTTCAATGTTTACTTTTATTCCTCTCCCCCCAAAATTCATTTTTAAACTTCCAATGTAATAAATTATTTTAGGGGAAAAAGGAAACATTTTATCTTGTTTTATTTTTATTTATGCAACATCTATGCCAGTTTAAGAGGATTTGCATGTTTTCTTATATAATTGTAATCCTAATAATAATTTTTCTTTTTCTTTAAAATTACATTTTTTTACTACATAGTCATTACTAATGTAATGATAGTCATAATCTATCAAGTGAATATTTCACAATTTTTGTCATTACAACTAATATTGCAATGAATTTCTTTAGGCAGGTAGACCTTTTCATGACTCCTCTGCCCTATAACCCCTTGTTATCCTCCCATCTTTTGGGGGTCATTTAAATTCATGAATATTTTAAAGGTAATTCATTTATTTGCTTAGTTAGCTAGTCATTTAAAAATAACTATTAAATGAGGATATATTTAAGAATAGTGAGAGAAGCAAAAGAGCTGAAACAAGAACTCTGTGACTTGTTACGTTTTTATACATAGAACCCTAAGACTTTTTCTCCATTATTTATGGTTAGAAGCAAATTTTGTAATATTATATGAAGACTAAGAAAGCAAATTATATTAAGCTACTTAAGTTCATTTTGATTTTCTGCCTACCTGTCCTTATTTCTACCATCTACATGACATACATGTAGATTCTGTTAGATAAAATAGGAGGAGACTAGAAAGAAACTTCTCCCTCTCTATAGCAGGGTGTGAAATACAAGAAATGCAGATTGTGTATTTAATGAAAAGGTCTATCTAAAGAATGCAATTTGGGGCTCTTTGAGTTGTGGTGTTGGAGGAGAATACTGAAAGTGCCATGGACTGCCAAAAGAACCAACAGATCTGTGTTGGAAGAAGTGCAGCCAGACTGCTCCTTGGAGGCCAGGATGGCCAACTTCGTTTTTCATACTTCGGACATATTGTCAGGAGGGACCAGTCGCTGGAGAAGGTTACCATGTATAGTAAGGTGGAGGGTCGGAGAAAAAGAAGACCCCCAGCGAGATGGATTGGCAAAGTGGCAGCATCAGTGGGCTCAAGCGTGGCAACAATTGTTAGGTTGGCCCAGGATTGAGCAGTGTTTCATTCAGTTGTGAACAGGGTCACTATGAGTCAGTACTGACTCGATGGCACCTAACAACAATAACAATCTATTTTACCACTGGCTGCTCTACAGGAATAAGATGAGACTTTCTGTTTCCATTCAGATTTAAGACCTGGGAAACCCTAGGGAGCCGTTCTACTCTGTCTTGTAGGAGGATCACTGTGAGTCAGAATCAACTCAGTCACAGTGGGTTGATTGGTTGGGTTAATTTACCTTAGTTTACAGAATAGATGATTAGCAGTGGTCAGTGTCCTTGACACTGTTATGTAATTTTTGAAAAGAAAGTACATTTTAAGATGATTTCAGTATTGAAGAAAGTTGTATTTTAAAAAAGTGCTGAAAGTGTTTTTGTGGTCTTAATTATGTGTTCATAATGTAAGCTTATCATAGGATTAAGATTTTTTTCTGCTTGCCTTTTACATGTGGGTATAGTTTTCAGCAATTAAAAAATATTTTGAGTAAATCCATTTTGAATACTTCTGGTAAGTTTCACATGTGAATTAAAATTGAGAGTTTATTATTATATATGATAAATAATCTTAAATGTAATTATCCTTTGTTGTACATAGCCAAGTTGAGTCCTTAAAAGTATCAAATACTTAAGAAAAGCTTTAGTCATGTTGTGTTTCCTAACACGTCGGATTTTGAAGTCTGTTGAAAGAATGCTGTACATTTAACATGGAAAAAGGATTTTGAGATGCTTTTTAGACTCTTTTCTGCCAACCAGTTTTAATAAATACCTGTGAAATGCCTAGTCTTCCCCCCCACAACAGTGTGTGAACCCTAATGCTTCTTATTGCACTTAGAATAAAATTCAGAATTCTTACCTTGATACTTTACTGGCTTATTAGAATTCAATCAGAATATAAGCTCTTATCTATAGGAACCTTGTCCAGTAGCTAATGAGTACCTTAGAACAGTAGTACTTTACAAAGAGGTAAATAGTAAATGCATAAAAAGGAGTTAAATGAAAAAAACCCTAGAGTTTGTGGAATTAAAACATGTAGATAATAGGGTAAATTCTTGATTTGCCTTTTTAGATTGCGCTGCTTAAAATCGTCATTTTAACCTTTTGTGACTATTTCCATTGGAAATGCCAAGGCTTCTCAGGTGTCCATGCCTATCAATTCCAGCATTGTTGTTATGAATTGGAACCTGAGTAGGTTCCAACTCATAGTGACCCTATATAGGGTTTCCAAGGTGTGTTAAAACTGTTTTCATTTATCTCTTGTGTGTACCTGTGTTGTTGTTAACTGCCTTTGAGTCAGTTCTGACACACACAGACCAGTGTAGGGTTTCCAAGGAGTGACTGGTGGGTTTGAAGTGCCGATCTTGTGGTTAGTAGTCCAGTGCTTATCCTGCAGCTCCAGGACTCCTGTATACCTATGCTATGACAAATGTATACTATGACCAAATGACAGAAATTAACTGCAAAGAGTTGTCTTTGACATTCCTTATATAAGCATTGATCAGAGTGATTGTTGAAGACAACTTGGCTACTTCAGTGATAGTAAGTACTGAAAGAAGGAACCTGTCGTCCTCGTTCTGAATAGTTTATATATCTGATGATAGTTTATATAGTTGCTCTTTTAATACCTGACATTGAATATAGGTGATCCCTGACTTACAATGTATTTGAATTACAATGTACTGTATTTAAAGTCATATGTTGTGGGTTTCTGTCTTTTCCCTGTTTTTTTTTTTTTTTTAAACATCTTAACAACAACAACATTGTTAGTGATATATGTTACATATAATGTTGCAATATGCAATATGTAATTGCTGATGTTACTATTCTCAGAAGTTCATTGGCAGATATTTAGTGTTATGTTTTAGTGTTCAGAACACCTGTATTTAGAGGCAATAATGAAAACTAAGAAAGCTTAAAACACAAAAGTGGTATCCGACTTACATCAAAACCAATTTTTGATGCAGTCAGCAGAACTGATTCCTATTGGGGACTACCTGTTCTTACTTTCAGGCTAAAGTCTTTGTTTCAGTTATAGGCACTGTATACTTTGTTTCCAAAATGTAAGACTGTTACTTTTTCAGGAAGCTCATAAGATGGTAAGAGAAGCAAATGTCAAGCAGGCAACAGCAGAAAAACAGCTAAAGGAAGCACAAGGAAAAGTAAGTTTTTACTGCTTTTAATGGTATAAAATTTGAAGAATTAATATTAACTAGATATAATTAATAAAGAACCTTGGTAGTGTACTGGGTTACATGTTGGACAGCTAACTGCAAGATCAGCAGTTCGAAACCACCAGCCATTCTGCTGGAGAAAGTAGTTTTTCTGCTTCCATAAACATTTATAACCCAGAAACCCAATAAAGGGTCACTCTGAGTCAGAACTGACTCAATAGCATGCAACAGTAGCAGCAGATAAAATTAATAATGAACATTTTGATATTTATGTTAGAACTGTACAATTTGAAGGTTATGAATCATGTATTAGCAAGAATATATAATCACATTTTAAAATGAATAAATTTTTATTTTCTTGATTAAGAAAAGCCACATAAATCTTACTAGAATTTGTTATTTTAGGAATGGACTACAACTAATTGTAAGCTATTACATTTTGAAGTTTCTGAATATACATAAATGTGAATAAACATTTTTAATAAATTTTTAAAAAATTAATTCAATATTATGTATAGCCTGTGAATACAAACCATATGGAAACATTAGAAAAATATGTTTTGTTTTCTTATTACCCTATAGGAGATGCAAACAATTTATTTTTATCTTCGAGAGATATTGCTACATTTAGTTGTATCTGTCATAAAGCGTATTTAGTATATGCAACTTTGTTGATTTCTTTTCAAGATCGATGTACTTCAGGCTGAAGTAGCTGCATTGAAGACACTTGTATTGTCCAGTTCTCCAACATCACCTACCCAGGAGTCTCTGCCAGGTGGAAAGACACCTTTCAAAAAGGGGCATACAAGGAATAAGAGTACAAGCAGTGCTATGAGTGGCAGTCCACAGGACCTTAGTGTGCTGCAGCCAATTGTAAAGGACTGCAAAGAGGTAACTAACTCATCAAGGAGGATCCGCTCTCACTTGAGTGATGCTTAATAATTTTCGCCATCAAATTGTCAGTTAGCATTTCTGCCAGCAGTTTTATTTTCAGTACAAAGTATGCAATGTTAGGGTGGAAAAGGCTTTGTCTAGAGGTGGCCAAGTTCAGGAATTCTTTAATTCCGTTCTCTGCTTGGCAACCTTGGAATACATGCTGGAAACTTGGTAAGTTTCTTAATGTTGATATTTCATTAGGGAGCAGACTATCATGTCTTGTATGTTGTTGTTAAGTGCCGTTGAGTCGGTTCTGACCCATAGCGACCCTGTATAGGGTTTCTGAGGAGTGACTGGTGAGCTTGAACCACTGACCTTGCAGTTCAAATGGCTTTGCAGTCTGGTGCATTAACCCACAGTGCCACACCAGGACTCCATGTATTGTATAAAGGTAGCTTAATTATCTGACTAGTCTACATCTGTTACTAGTGTGCTCTAACAAAATAGGAATACAGTGCAAATATCAGAAATGTGTGAAATTAAGATGGTTTTCTTGAAGAATGGTGCACTGCTTTTCCTTAAACTCTGGGAGAAATAGAATTTTATATTGGCAAGGAAGTCCTGGAGTTTGTTCAGGCAATTAAGCAACAAAATTAAAAATAATGGCAGTCTTGTAATTTTTAAAGGATACAAAGGTAACCAAAACAACACACGATTCTTTTGAATAAAAATTGTATAATTATAAATTGTTTTCCTTAATCATTGTATACTATGAAAAAACATGGTATTACCGGAATCATTTCCAAGGAAATTTGATCAACAGTCAGGAGTACCTCCCTCCTTGTTTTTTCTTAAAAGTTGTTTTATTATATTGTTGAATTCAAATCTTTGGTTACTGTCTTTAATTTGGAAGAAACTGAATGTGCTTTTTCAGCTAAACTAAGTATGCTTGCATGGAAAGCAAGCATTCATTAAACTCAGCCGAGGTTGTTACCTGTTTGAATTGAATTGCATTATGCTTAGTTGTTAGTAAAATGATGCTGGTGACAGAGTTCAATACTTGTTCAAATCTGAGTGTGACAAAATACTAAATTCATACTAGTTTGTTAAATATCTAAAACTTTTTTAGCCATACCGTTCTCATTTCTTTGGATTTAGGTAATATTTTTAATTGCATGGTACAAATTTTATTTTTGCTAGGTTCCTCAGTATCTTCCCCTTAATATTTACACTAACAAAATTTAAATATGTTTTCTCATGAAACACTGTATTAAGTTGTACTTTCAGTTTATGCTTTCTAGGCATAGAATATGTTTTGGTGTTTTGTGAAAATTTTATCACAAAGTCTTATTAGACCAGGGAAATATATAGATTAGACCTGTGTTAATCTTACAAAAAAATTCGAGTGAAAATGAAACATGCCCATATCATTAGGAAACATGATAGAGTTGGGGGCGCTTATTCATGATATTATATGGAGTCCTGGTGTGGCGCTGTGGGTTAATTGTGCCAGACTGCAAAGCCATTTGAATTGCAAGGTCAGCGGTTCAAACTCAACAGCTGCTCCTTGGAAACCCTATATAGGGTCGCTATAGTAGCGTAGTGGTTACGAATTGGGCTGCGAACCTTAAGGTCAGTGGTTCGAAACTACCAGCTGCACCGCGGGAGAAAGATGAGGCTTTCTACTCCCGTAAAGATTTACACCCTCGGAAACCCTATACAGGGTCGCTATGGGTCGGAACCGACTCGATGGCACATAACAACAACAACAATCAACAAAATGGCACTTAACAACAACAATTCATTATATTAAGGACATAATGGTTGTAAACATTGAATACATACACACACATCCATGGTATCTAGCTTTTGGATAAATTCACTTAGATTTGAGTTTGAACTCTTACTGCTACCTTCTTTCACATTGTAATTGTTTTGATCATAGACTGACCTCCTAGATCCTCTGAATTTGTTCTTACAGTTTTATTCTGTTCCCTTCCATTTGTCGATTGAGTTCCAGGTGATGCTGCCACATACGTCAGTCTCTAGTTGTTGTCTCTTCTTGTTTGTTCTCAGCCCACAGAACTCCCTTTAGGATGTTTTTCATCACAGGGTTGGATTTGGTAAAATCCCTTAGCTTCTGTTTATCCTGGAATGTTTTGATTACACCGTCGTATTTGATTCACCACTTTGCTGGGTAGAGGATTCTTTGTTGGCAGTTTTTTTTTTCCTTTCAGAGTTTTATATATGTCTCCCCATTGCCTTCTTGCCTGCATAGTTTCTGTTGAGAGATCCCTAGCTGCTTTCAGGATTATGTCCTTATCTTTCATTTTGGAGAGCTTGGTTATTATATGTCTTGGTGATTTTCTTTTAGGATCTATCCTTCCTGGGGTTTGTTGAGCTTGAATGCTTATCTTTTCACTTTTCAGGATGTTAGGGAAATTTTCTTCCAGAAGTTCTTCAGGTCTCTCCTCTGTGGACTTGTGTGCTTCTTTCTGTTCAGGAATGCCAATAATTCTTGAGTTATTCTTCTTCATGTTGTCCAACATGAATCTTAGACCTTCTTCAGATTTTTAAATCCCTTTTTCTGCTTGTTCTTCTGTCTTAGAAGTATTGAGAGATTTATCTTCCAGCTCACTAGTTCTGCCTTCCATCTCTTCAGTTCTACTTCTTTGCCCTTTCAGTGTATTGTCCATTTCTGATATTCTATTATTAGTCATTTGGACCACTTGCTGTAGGTTTTGAATTGTTGCCAATGCTGTATGTATCTTTGATTGTTCCTGTAGCCCTTTCCTGACTTCTTCCTTATTTTTCTCAACTCCATTGTGAAGTGTTTTGATACATTTTATAATCATTTTTCTGAATTCCTTCTCAGGCATTTTCAAAGCCTGCTCTTCTTCCAGTATGGAGTGTAGGTCTACTTCCAGCTCGTTTGTCTCAGTCACTTTATCTTGTTTCTGTACGTGTACTAATAGGGTCATCTGTTCCTGTTTTGGGGCATATTCAGTAGTTAGTTGTGTTCTTAATACTTAGATGGGTGTGTTTTTTTTTTTTGCTTTCTGATTGCTTGCAGGTAGATGTGGTCAGGAAACGAGCTTTCCTTTTCCCTCTTCTTCCTGAGAAATTTCAAGATGCCATGGTTGGTCATTATGACGTAACTCAGAATTTAATTTTTGGCCTGTTTCCTCTTAGTTTGCCTGTCCTACTTCACAATCCCCATTCAGGCCTTTTTCCTAATAACAAATAGTTCAGGGTCGGCTGTGGCCATTTTGCATGGTAGTTTGGTTTTAAGTGGAAACTGTCACTTTACATTTTGAGGAGATCTATGTGCGTGTGTAATAGAACCCTCTGAGGGTGAGGTGTCCACTGGCTTAGACACCCCCTCTAGTCACCAGAATGGAGGTACGCAGATAGCGAGACACCAATGAACAGATACAAAAAAAGAATGTCCACACTTATCTCCATGGTTCTGTCAGGTGTCCATGGCTGCTCTGATCCTTTCCCCACTCAGTCTTGCCCAAAGTAGCGGCTCTGGGAACAGCTTAGTGCCTTTGATTAGAAAGCACTGGATTTTTTGCTTCTGCTACAAATTCCACTATCTGTAAACCTTCCAACTTTCTAAATATTCCTTTATATATGGTTCAGAGTTCTGGGACCAACCCCTGAGCTTTCTTGGTCCAGTATTCTGTGTTGTTGCTGATGGAGCTCCTCACTGCACTTCTACCCTCTGTGCCATCTTGTTTGTTCTGCGCATAGTTTTACATTACTGCCTTTAAACTAGAATCTTTCCTTAGAACACTTACCTTCCTTGGCATGTATGTCCTTTATATGATAAGCTTTACAAAGAAATGAATTTATGTGAGTATTGCTGCTTTGCCAGTATTCTTTATCCTTTTGCCATTAGCGTTGATTCAGGAATTTATGAAATGGGTTGAAAAGAATAAAATAATTCACACTGAGATTGCTACCACATGCCTTAAAAGATAGTCTGTAGGAAAGCTAGAGTACACTCAGCCTTTTGCTTTTGTCATATAGACCACCTGCACATCTCACTAAGCTGTCCCTGAGGCCAGGGCTGTAGGCAGTGCTATGTGTGCCATTTCTAACTGCAAGAGCAGTAGGGAAGGATACTCAGTGTCTGGGTGACTGGGGGTAGGTGTGGCTTTGTATCTCCACAGATTGTGTTGAACTGGGATGAGGAAATCTGAGGATGGATAGGGAAGCTTTACTGTAGGGAAGAAAGAGAGAAAGAACAGGAGGAGTGAATGGGAGGATGAGTGGCAGCAATAGGTCATTGTTAATTTATGTGGTAGTTACTATATGTCAATGTGCTAATAAATACCCAAATAAATGTTACATTTTAAAATACTTTAGAAGGTTGTATGAGGGGACTTCAGAAAGTCTATGAAAAACTGGAATTAAAAGAAACTGGAACTTTCCATGAACTTTTGAAGCCCCCTGATATATGGGCTACTTTTAGTCTTGTTGTTTATACAATAAACACTTTGGAAATTCTTTTTGAATTGCCTTCAGATGGTAACACAACAATTAGTATCGTTTTTTTACTCTAAATGAGGTATCAGAATTTAATCAAACACTTAATTTTATTAACTTGGCTCCATATTGCATTTTGACAATTTTCAGAAAAGATTTATCTTTTTTTTATATTCAGAATTATAGCACTTGTGTCTTAAGAGGAGTGCCAACATTATTATTAATTTTTTTCACCTTTTTACTGTGAATTGAGTTAAGGTTTACCAAGCAAATCATCAGTTTTAGATTTAAAAAAGTATATACCCTTGCTTCATTGCATTTCCAAGTTAACATTTCCCTCTATTCACTTATCTATTGCTTTCCTCTCTGGGTCTCCTGCCACCTTCATCTTTCCTCTGCTAACCTCCCTGTTGTATATTGCCTGCCCTGTCACCCGTGTTAACATGTGTCTGCCCTCTAGCCCATGAACAACAGTCTGCCCCCATAACCAGCATAGGTTGTTTCTTTTATCAAGAAAACCTTTTACAGCATTGACCTCATATAATATTTGTCCTTTTGTGATCGACTAATTTCACTTAGCATAGTATCTTCCAGGTTAAACCATCTTGTTAGGTGCTTCACAGATTCATCATTATTTTTCAACATTTTGCATACCAACATTTTGTTTGGGGGAGAAAGTAGAGGATAATGGTGATCCCTTTTCAGTTTATGTGATCCCTTTTAGCATCATCGGACACCCATAGTGGATTCATTAAAAAAGGAGTTAGTCATTCGTCACATGGGAGTATAAATTTGGACGGCTTAAAAATAAAAATTGTTATGTGTCACAACTAATAAAAAACTGTCCCCCAAGTATTGTTTTAAATGAAGAGCATTTATTTTTTAGTAATGTTTCAACTAGGTTTTAGTTTTGTAAGGTGGTTTTATGTTTTGTACTAAGTTGTCTAAATCTGTTATGTTTTCTTTTGGTTTGTCAGGCTGATTTGTCCATGTATAATGAATTCAGATCTTGGAAGGATGAGCCCACAATGGACAGAACTTGCCCTTTCTTAGATAAAATCTATCAGGAAGATATCTTTCCATGTTTAACATTCTCAAAAAGTGAGGTAATGTATATTTTTTCACATCAGTGGAAATACAATTAGAATTGTTTCTGTACTTTTTACTAAATTGTATTACATATTTTGAGATTTTACATAAATAAAGATCCCGGATGTGATGCTGTAGAATAATCAATCACTGGACTGATAACTGCAAGGTCAGTAGTTTAAAACCACTAATTGCTATTGGAAACCCTATATAGGATCACTATAAGTTGGAATCTAGATCACACAACAACAACATAAAGCACTTGGCTGTTACCCAAGAGGTTGGCGGTTCAAACCCACCAGCCGCTCAGTGAGAGAAAGATGTGGTAGTCTGCTTCTGTAAAGATTTACAGTCTTGGGAACCCTATGGAACAGTTCTACTCTGTCCTTTGGACTCCTGGTGTGGCACTGTAGGATCAGCATTGGACTGTGAACACCAGTTCAAACCCACCAGCTGCTCTGAACAATAACAGCTGTGTCTTCCGGGGTTGCTGTGAGTCAGAATTGACCCCATGACTATGGTTTTGGATTTTACATAAATAATTTATTATAAAATGCCATGTTTTCTTTGAATATTAAAATCATAATTTCTTGGCATTTAGTTACTATACTGAACATCTTTCGTATTTGAATAGAGAATCATTTACAATGATGTGTACTTGGTTGGATTGAAGTGTTAAATATGTACTGGGTGTAGGGCTGATATCTTGATTCTTGGTTCAAAGCTCAATGTAATGGATGTTCTATACTCTGTACTTTCAGTTAAAGGTATTGAGTTTTATCTGTGATTTAAAAATCGTATTTAGTTTCTACATCATAGAAAGGACAAACAATACCCTTTTCTTGTCTATGTCACACATTGTTATGAGGATAAAATGAAGTTGGTTAAATAGCTTTTTAAAGATTGAAGGCGCTATACAGATGTAAGGTCATAGTTATAAAAGGTTATCGACAAGTATCTTATAAATCAGTATTTAAGAAGTTTAATCTTAAGAATGTTATTTGTAGGATTTTGAGGACTTAATTGTAACACTGCTGATAAGGAGAAGTTGAGATGGACAGTGAAACGTTTTTGATATGTAGATATGTTGTTCATTGTGTCTCTGTGCCTGGTTTCTGGCAGGCCAGTCAGTATTAGTGATCTTGGCAGACTAAGGAAAGTGTGCCTATTTCATGTACTGTTTATCATTTATCAGTTGCTGTCATCTCCATCTGGGCATTTAATATTAGATAATTAAGTAATTCTTTTGTAGACTCAGTCTTGTGCATATAAACATAAGCATAGAAAATACAGAGCTATATATTTCTGTGTTATAAATGACAAATATTATTTAGCATTACATAAATTTAGCAAAATAAGCATTAGGATACCCATTTTGAAGTGGCATTAACAGTGGATGTTAATTGTGAGTGAGGAGCAGACATAGACTAGAATTGATGCCTTTAATCCTCTTCCACATAATAAGAGTTAGTTAGCTATAATTGAATTGCCTTATAACAGTGTTTGAATTAACCAAGTTTATGTGTTTCTTTTCGTTTTCATTGACTGAGGCCAAGATAATGAACTTGAGGAAGAGAAACTTTAAAAAAATTAGCTTACAGTAGAATACAATTTTGATGTTTTTCTGCCAGGATAGCACCTAATACCTGTTTTATTGTTTTTATTAAAGTTGGCTTCAGCTGTTCTGGAGGCTGTGGAAAACAATACTCTAAGCATCGAGCCAGTGGGTTTGCAACCTATTCGATTTGTGAAAGCTTCAGCAGTTGAATGTGGAGGACCAAAGTATGTTTTCAATTTCATGACCTGTGAAAATACTGAGTTTTTCTCATGTGTTGCATGCGTATTTGTCATTCATTTTTCCTAGTTTAAATATAGATACATTTCTCATCAGTTTACTATTTTAGTGTCAGTGAGACCAAAAGACACATCCGTAGACAATACGGAATATGACATTTCAGACTTAGCATTGAGAGAGCCCTTTTCATTGTGAAAATTGATGCTTATGGCTCTGGACAGACCACAGATTAGAAATTTATTTTAAAGCCACATATCGTGACCTGTTGGTGGGTCAGGTCAGTTTAGTGGGTGATTGACCAAAAAAATTTATTTGTTAAACATGGAGGGGCTTCAGAAAATTTGTGGAAAAATGAAATAAGAAGATAATGGAATTTTTCTATGAGCTTTTTTAATCCCCGTCATACCTGTATGCCAGTGTGTGTTGTGTTTCTCTGTAAAATATTTCTTCCTGGGATTTGTGGGCAGACACTGAGTTCGACTAAGTGTTTGAAACAGGAACCAGGATCCTGAAAGGACTTGATTAGTCTTCTTCCTTACTCTTTTTATAAAGGACTCTCACTTTGGTAAGTAGTCAGTTCTGTCTTATTTATGTGAGCGATATTAGCAATTATAAGTCTTCAGAGGAGTAAGACTCCCATATTTCATAGCAAGGCAGCCGTATTGTCTGCAATCCCTAGAAGGAGGGAAGACTGAAACCGATAGTACTTAAAAACCAGCTCAAACAACCTGTGCCTAAAACCTTTGACATCTAAAGGTTTTTCCTACAGCCATTTGTGCCTTGTCCTGTGTTTTGGGAAAAAAAAAAAAATCAGAAAACTTTTTTGAGGAAGCTGCCTGAGGGGTTAAAACTTGATCAATTTAGAGAATAGAAAGGCATGACTCCTGTCATGGTCATTTTGAACCCAGAATAGGGGAAAAAAATGTAGGTTGAGAATAACCATTTGTTGTCACTAAGTGCTGTTGAGTTGGTTCTGACTCATAGCAACTCTGTATAGGATTTACGAGGAGTAGCTGGTGGTTTGAACCATGAACCTCGTGGTTCACAGTCCAGTGCTTATCCTTTAGCACCACACCTATTGTAGTAGTTTCACTGCTCTCCCCCTTTCATGTTAATGCTCATTATGTTCTCAGCAAGAATACCAAAGGCTGGTATTTGGGACAAGTTAATAGATAGAGGTTACCCAGTCACTGTGAGCCACACATGTAGCTGGAGTTGCGTCCAATTTTACTCTTACCTGTGCTATACATGTAGATAGCGCAGTGGCCTCTGAATTTAAGGGAAGATATTTACATTCCTAAATTTTATTCCTAAAACACTCAAATATTTTTATCCTAATTTTCACCCAATAAAGGAGAAATTAAATTTAATGATAAGTTTCTGTACTTTTAAGGCCTCTATCATATATTATTTTAAATGTAGCATATCATAGTTTTTACTATATTATTTAATTTTGTTAACTATTATGAATTGAGTGAAGGCTTACAGAACATTTTTATATTCAGCAAATCGTGCATTTCACATCAATGATTGAAACCCACTCAGTGTAATACCACCTATTCCACTTCCTTCTTGTGTTTCTTGTTTCCATTCCTTCTTTTTTCCCAATATTTCTGAATTATGCCCTTAGGCAAATGCTATGCTTTTGATCTTGAGTGGTTGACCGTTCTTTGGTGTATGTACCTCACTAGTACTGTTATTCTTCCCTCCCTCCCTCCATATACTTATCTATTGTTTGGCTGAAAATTGAGAGACAGAGGTGATTTCAGTTCCAGACCTGAAAGGTGACAGTCTCTGACTGGTAAGCCTGGTCTTTTTTTTATGATTTTGAATTTTGTATCACATTTTTCCCCCAATATACCCACGACCTTTTAAAGTGATCCTTTTCAGAGCAGTTAGTATTGGTAGCTGGGCGCCATTTAGTTTTTTTAAGTCTCAGTGTCATAGAGAATAATGTTCACATGGTCCATTAGTCCTTTGGACTACTTGTTTCCATGTATCTTCAATTTTCATCACTTTTCTTTTCCTCCAAAAAGGAAGACATCAATAGTTTCACCTTCAATGGCCACTCATGAGTTTTATGGCCACTCATGAGTTTTTAAGATGCCAGTTGGTATGTACCAAAGTTGGATATAGGATAATGTCTTTGTGGACTATGTTATGCCAACTGACCATCATGTACCATGAGGCCCCAGGCCCAGTGATTAAGAAGTTTATATAACTTTGCCACTTGTGTGCTCTGCTCCATTCATGGATATGTTTGTAGCAAAGGTAGATACCCATGTACAAATACCTTCTGTTGTTGGGAATATGTATCTTTATGTATTTGTTGATATACTGCCATTCTCCCTTCCACACCCACTCAGCCTGTGTGTCTGTCCATGTTTCTACCCATGTTGTTGTTTTTAGGTGTTGTTGAGTCAGTTCCAACTCTTAACAACCCTGTGCACAACAGAAAGAAACCCTGTCCGGGTCTACACGATTCTCACAATTGTTGTTACACTTCAGTCCATTGCTTCTGCTACTGTGCCAGTCTGTCTAACTGGGGTACTTCTTTTTGTCACTGACCCTCCATTTTACCAAGCTTAATGTCCCTCTCCAGGGCTGATGAAGTACGAGATAAAATCTCTGTACCCTGGCTTCTAAGGAGCATTCTGGCTGTACTTCCAAAACAAATTTGTGTGTTCTTCTGGCAGTACGTGGTACTTTCAGTATTTCTCTTCAGCACCATAACTCAAATGCATCAATTTTTTTAGTCTTCCTTATTCATTGTCCAATTTTCACATGAATATGAAGCTATTGAAAATACCATGGTGAGTCAGGCCCAACTTAGTCTTCAAATTTATCTTTGCTTTTGAATAGTTTAAAGAGGTCTGGTACAGCAGATTTGCCTAATGCGTTATTAGCAATGTGCCATTTGATTTCTTGACTGCTGCTTCCATGAGTGTTTGTAGTGGAACAAGCAAAATAAAGTCTTTGACAACCTCAATCTTTCCCATCTATCATGATGTTATTTAGTGGTCCAATGGTAGGATTTTTGTTTTGTTTTTTACGTTAAGGTACAATCCGTACTGAAGGCTGTGGTCTTTGCTCTTCATCAGTGTTTTAAAATTCGTCTTCTCTTCCAGAAAGCAAGGTTGTGTCATCTGTATATTGCATGTTGTTAAATGAGTCTTCCTCCAATCCTGATGCCATAGTCTTCATATAATGCAGCTTTTCAGATTATTTGCTACGTGTACCGATTGAATAAGTATCATGAAAGAATACTGTCATGGTGTATATCTTTTCTGATTTTAAGTCATTCAGTATCCCCTTGTTTTGTTAGAACAACTGCCTCTTGGTCTGTGTTCAGGCTCCTCGTGGGCACAATTAGTGTTCGAGTCTGCCCATTCTCTGTACTGTCATCAATAGCTTGTGATGATCCACACAGTTGAATGCCTTTGCCTACTCAATAAAACACAAGTTAACATCTTTCTGGTATTCTTAGCTTTCAGCCAAGATCCAACTGACTTCAGCAATGATATCCCTAATTCCACGTCCTCTTCCGAATCCAGTTTGAGTTTCTGGCAGTTTCTTGTCTGTGTACTCTTGCAGCCATTTTGTAATTATCTTCAACAAAATTTTACCTGCATGTAATATTAATGATATCGTTAGATGATTTCCACATTTCATTGAGTCATCTCTTTTTGGATTGGGCAAATATGGATCTCTTCCATTCATTTGGCCAATAGCTATCGTCCAGATTTCTTGGCATAGATGAGTGGAGCACTTCCAGAGTTGTATCAGTTTATTGAAAGATTTCAGTTTGTTTGCCATCAATTTTTGGAGCCCTATTTTTCACCAGTACCTTCAGTGCAGCTTGATTTTCTTTCTTTAATATCATCAGTTCTTAATCATATACTACCTCTTGAAATGCTTAAACATCAATCCTTTCTTTTTGGTACAGTGCCTCCGTGTATACCTTCCATTTTCTTAAGATGCTTTCTTCACCATTAAATATTTTGCCCATGGAGTCCTTCAGTATTGTAAGCCAAGGCTTGAATTTTTTCTTCAGTTCTTTCAACTTGAGAAATGCTGAGCATGGTTTTCCCTTTTGGTTTTCTAACTCAAGGTGTTTGTGCATTTCATTAAAATAATTGACTTGTCCTCTCAAGTTGTCCTGTGCAATTTTCTGTTCAGCTCTTTGACTTTCTCATTTCTTCCATTAGCTTTAGCTTCTCTGTACTCAGGAGCAAGTTTCAGAGTCTCTTCTGACATCTGCTTTGTCTTTTCTCTCTTTCCTGTCTCTCAATGACCTTTTGCTTTCTTCTTATATAGTGATTTTTATGTCATCCATAATTGTTGGGTCATTAGTGTCTAATTCAGTAAATCTGTTTTTGAGATTACCTCTAAATTCAGGTGGATGGCTCTCATGGGCTTGTTTTAGTTCTTTCCAGCTTCTTCCTGAACTTGCATATGAGCAATTGATTGTCTGTCCCACAGTCCACCCCTGACCTTGTTTTGTCTGATGATATGGGAACTTTCCCACCATCACTTCCCACAGATGTGATCAGTTTTTTCCTGTGTATTTCTTCTGGTGAGGTCCATGTGCATGATCACCGTTTATGCTGTCTTAACAGGTATTTGCAATGAAGAAGTCATTAGTCTGCAAAATTCTGTCATGTAATCACCAGCATCATTTGTATCACCAGTGTCGTATGTTCCAACTACTGACTCTTCCTTTTTGTTTCCAACATTCACATTTCTTTCACTAATAGTTTTCAGTACATCTTAATTTCATGTTTGGTCTATTTCGAACTCGAAGGAAAGAGGAGTAGCTCACTGGCTAGAGGGTGGTAGATACATGTTGGGTAAGGCAATATAAAAGGAGGAGGTGGGAGTCCATTCTTCCATTGATGAGCCTTTAGGTTGTCTTCACCCTTTTGCTGTTTTGAATAGTGCTATGATAAATGTGGGTGTGCATGTATATATTCATGTTGTGGCTCTAATTTTTAGGATATATACCAAACAGAGGGTTTGCTGGATCACATGGTATTATGATTTCTAACTTTTTGATGAAGTGCCATACCGTTTTCCACAGCGATTATATCATTTTACAATCCCACCAGCACTGTATGAGGATTCTAGTCTCTCTGCTCCTTGCCAGCATTTGTTGTTTTGTGAACTTTGCTATAAATGCTGTGATGAGATGATATGTCATTGCTGTTTTGATCTGTTAATTATCATGAGCATTTCTTCATGTTAGTTGGCCACTTGAATGCTGTTTTTGATGATATGTCTGTTCATGTCCTCCACTCCAGTTTTTAAATTGGATTATTCCTCTTTTTCTTGTTGTAATATTGACGTTTTCTATAAATTTTATAACATAGTCTCTTACCTGATAATGTCAATGACAAGCAGTTTTTCCCTAGTCTGTTGGTTTCTCTTTTTCCTGTTTTGATGCAATATTTTGATGTTAATGTAAAGAAGAAGATAGTTTGTGCGAACATTTACAGAGCAAATTAGTTTTCCATTCAATAGTTTACGTATTTTTTGTTTTGTGACCTGAGCTGCGATCCCTGCACTGTGACAGCACTTGGCCCACTTCCTACCCAGATTCCTCATTTCCACTCGTCCTACTTTTCGTCCCCTTCTGAACTATGTTTTTGAGCAAGTGCTGGGCTTTTTTTTGTTTTTGTTTTTTTTCCCCTCCCTTTTGTCTTGTTCTGAGGGTTACATTCTTCACAAGTATTATTGTTTATAATATGGGTTTATATATTGTTTGGTTGAAAGTGGTTTCTGAAGGCAGGCTTAATATGTGCAAATATCATCAAATAATGACTATGGTAATATCAGCTGAAGTGTGTTTATAGTATTTTAGTAAAATTCATTAGGTTTAAGGAACAATTTAAGGATACTGTACTTGTGGGAATGAGGTTAGAAGCCAAGGTATTTTAGAGTACTTATTTGGTTGCGTAGTGGTTACAAATCGGGCTGTGAACCTTAAGGTCAGCAGTTTGAAACTACCAGCTGTTCTGTGGGAGAAAGATGAGGCTTTCTGCTCCTGTAAAGATTTACAGCCTCTGAAACCCTGCTCAGGGTCACTATGAGTTGGAACCGACTCCACAGCACGTAACCACCACTACCACCACCATTGTAGAAGAAACTGAAGAATGATCCTCTTTTATGAAATGTGTATATGACTCTGGCCAAGTTTCTCGTGGATTAGATTATGAAGATAATGGCTAAATGAATGGCATAATACTTTTGAGGAAGACACGAATCATTCCAGTTGGAGGAGATTAAGCAGGTAGATTGATTTGATCTGGATACTGAAGCATGGGTGGAATTTGGCTGTCCCAACTGCACGAGTTCATTATTTGTGCCCATTCCAAAGTTAATCCAACAGAAAATGGAAATTACTGAGCAATATCATTAATATCAAGGAGCTCTGGTAGCATAGTGGTTATGAATCGGGCTGCAAACCTTAAGGTCAGCAGTTTGAAACTACCAGCTGTTCCACGGGAGAAAGATGAGGCTTTCTGCTCTTGTAAAGATTTACACCCTCAGAAACCCTGTACAGGGTCGCTATGAGTTGGAACCAACTCCGTAGCACACATAACAACAACAACGATCATTAATACCACACTCAAGTAAATTTTGTTGAAGATAATTTAAAAATGGCTACATCAGCGCGTTGACAGCAAACTTCCAGAAAGTCAAGATAGATTCAGAAGACAATGTGGAATGAGGGATATGCTGATGTCGGATGGATCTTGGCTCAAAGCAGAGAATAACCAGAGAGATGTTTACCTGTGCTTTATTGACTACGCAGAGACTTTCAACTGTATGGATCATGACAATCTGTGGGAAGCATTGCAGAAAATGCATATTCCAGAACACTTCATTGTGCTCATGAAAGACCAAGAGGCAGTCACTCAAACAGAACAGGGCAATACTGAATGGTTTGAAGTCGGGAAAGGCGTGCACAAGGGTTGTATTCTTTCACCATAGTTAGTCTGTATGTTGAGCAAGTGATCTGAGAAGCTGCATTATATAAAGCAGAAAAATGTGGTATCAGGATTGGAAGAAGACTTATGAACAACCTTTGATATGCAGTTGATACAGCCTTGCTTGCTGAAAGTGAAGAGGACTTGAAATACTTACTGATGGCAATCAAAGACCACAACCTTCAGTGTGAATTGTACTTCATTGTAAAGAAAACAAAAATTCTCACCACTGGACCAATAAATAATCTCATGATAAATGGAGAAAAATTTGAAATTGTTAGAGATTTCATTTTGCCTGGATCCACTGTAACCACTTGTGGAAGCAGCAGGCAAGAAATCAAATGACAAACTGCATTAGGCAAAACTGCTGCACAAGATCTCTTTAAAGTGTTAAAGAGCAAAGATGTCACTTTGAGGATTAAGGTGTGCCTGACCCATGTCATAGTATTTTCAATAGTTTCATATACATGTGAAAGTTGGACAGCAAAAAAGGAAGTCATTTGAGGTATGGTGTTGGAGAAGAATATGAAATGTACTATGAGCTTCAGAAGAACAAACAAATCTGTGTTGGAAGAGGTACAGCCAGAAGTTCTTTAGAAGTGAGTATGGCAAGACTTTATCTCGTTTTATCAGAAGGGACCAGTTCCTAGACAAGTACAGCATGCTTGGTGTAAAGTAGAGGATCAACATGAAAAAAGGGGCACCCTCACTGAGCATAGCAAGGATCCTGAGAATGACACAGAACCAGGCAGTGTTTTGTTCCGCTATGAGTTAATACAACAACAATAAAAAAACAAAAAAATAAAATAAAATAAAATCCTGTATGTAGGCTATTACCCTGCAAGCTTTTAGTAACATGTGAGGCTTGCACAATCATCATTAAGATATTTTCAAACTAAGAAAGTAGTTGAACTTCTAATGGAAATCTGAAAACTGAATTTACCTATATGTAAATGTGTTACTGGAGTCCTGGTGTGGTACTGCAGGTTAATGTGCTAGACTGCACAGTCTGTTTGAACTGCAAGGTCAGTGGTTCAAGCTTACCAAGTGCTCCTCGGAAATCCTATACAGGATTGCTGAGGGTCAGAACCAACTCAGTGGCACTTAACAACACCATCACCACCAAATGTGTTACTAGATAGGACAGAATTAAATCACACAAAGCACTTCTTTCTCTGGGGCCACCTATGTCACCTTCATTGTACTTAATAACTAATGATTGTTGTTAAGTGCCTTCCCTGTATAGGGTTTCTGAGGAGCGGCTCATGGGTTTGAACCACCAGCCTTGTGGTTAGCAGTTTAGTTATCCTATATTGCCACACTAGGACTGATTAGTTATATAAGATATTGACTTTTCCTTTTGAAGTATCAACTTCATTGCTCAGAATTTTATCATAGAAAAAATACAGTTTTTAATATTTTGTCTTGGTAATGGTAAAAGTAGAATTAAAATAAATATTTAAGAGTTCTCTAGACAAATTCAGAGGTTGTTTAAAACATCTGGTTTATAAATATAAAACCATGATTAATGTTTGGTATTAAGCTTTTGCTAGAATGTAAGACCTACCAGAGCAGGGATGTTGTCTTGTTAGCTCACCGTCTAGAACAGTGTCTGGTTTGGTTCTTGAAGACTTGTTGTCTGACTGATTGAATACACAGTATGTACAGAGTGTAGGGACAAAATACTTTGGATAGTAAACGAAAATATGTCATTGTTTTACAGAAAATGTGCTCTCACGGGCCAGAGTAAGTCTTGTAAACACAGAATTAAATTAGGAGACTCAAGCAATTATTACTACATTTCTCCTTTTTGCAGATACAGGGTAAGTAACTTAATCATGGATTTTAATATAGTTTATTTTGATAAAAGACATTTGATTAATAGTGACTTTTTTTTTCCTTTTTTTTTTACCTAGATCACTTCTGTATGTAACTTTTTTACTTACATTCGATATATTCAGCAGGGACTTGTGAAACAGCAGGATGGTAAGTGTTTTTCATTTGTTATAAATATTTACATAAACAGTTTCGGCTGAAACATAGTAGTAATACTCAAAGTTTATGTTTATAAAGAATCACTATTACAATTCCAATAAAATAATGTAATTTGAAAACAAACGTCTTTTTTAACAGAACATATTTTATTTACTCCTTTTAATTACACAATGTTTTCTGTAATTGTAATTTTTGGTATTAATTGTCTTAACTCTTAGAAAGTATATGATAACTCATATTATAAATAGAAGCGTGCAGACTCACTGTTGACTTTAGTCTTTAAAAAGTGAAAATGACAAGGTTTAGAAGTGGTCAGGTTTTCTTAATTGCTGGAAACCAAGAAGGAGCTAACATTTTTTTTCTATATTTTCTACTTTCACGTGTGAATTAATAAAGCAGTCATGAGGATAATTCTGAATGGAATAAAGATTACTACTGCATTCTAAATCAGCAGAAACATGCAGATGATAGATCCAGGAAAGCCAACCTCATGCAAGTGTTTTAATGTTTTTAATAGTCTTGTATGATTACTGATGGTTCAATAGCCGAATGTCATAAAAATTGACCAGGCCTAGCAGCTTCAAAGCAGAATTTCTTGAGTACACGTGATTATTTTAAAATAGACAGGTACTTGGTGAATTACCAACAAGTCTATGCTAGTTTTGTATTACAAGCTGTAAGGCATTTTATTTTTTTAACCACTGAAAATATTCTTTTAAAAAATATATTTGTATATATTTTCTTAGCTACTGAAGGTAATTGTTTTTAATATTCGTATGTGTAAACATTAGTAGAAGTCCATTCGAAGTAAACCAGCAAATCTTGATTCTGAGGGGAAATTAGTTACACTGATAAAAACGTCATTTAGTCATTTTTAATCTCTGATATGTTGAAAACATTCATACAGATGTAGAATCCCATAATGAATAAGTTGAAATCTGTCTAGAGTGAATGTTGAGTTTCAAGAGGCTGCTCACCATAAAAGAAATATTTAAACTATATTTTAATAATTTTTATGACTAAAAGTAAAATATTTTTGATGCCTGTTTATGGATAATATAATTTAAGCTGGAAAACATTTTATTTCTGTTAAGTTAAATTGTTAATAATGTTTTTATTATTTAAAAGTTTTTGTTGAGAAGGCTGAAAGCTTATTTTATGAACTAGGAGGGAAATATCATGAGTGGTGGTGGAGGCAATGATGGTAATAGTGGTGGTTGGTGTCTTCTCAGTTTCTATCATCATCTACTCCATACTATTTGATAAGTATCATATACTGTGAGGGTTTGCAACAAATACATTTTATTAATATAAAACTGTTCACTGTTTGTGCTTTGTGTCAAAATAATTTAGGGCATCTAAATTGAACTTCTGGTGCTGTAGGATCAGCACTGGACTTCTAACCACAAGGTTGGTGGTTCAAACCCACCATCTGCTCCTTGGAAACCCTATATAGGATCATTATGAATTAGAACCAGTTACGTGGGATTTAGCGACAACTACAATTCTAAATTGAAGGAGTCCTTGTACCTCAGTGGGTGACTCCACAGGAGAAAGATAACAGGAGTCTGCTTCGTTAAAGATTACAGCCTTGGAAGCCCTATCGGGCAAGTTCCACTCTGTCCTGTAAGGTTGCTATGAGTTGGAATTGTCTTGATAGCAACTAAATCTAAAGCAGGATTCTACAATTTAGCCCTATTAACATTTTGCACTGGACAGTTTTTGCTATGGGAGTCTGCCTTGTGCGTTGTAGGATGATTAACAATGATTAGTGGCCTTTATTAATCATTAGGTGCCAATAGCCACCTCTTAGGTGTGACATTCAGCTATTTTACCAGATGTTACCAATTGTAGCCTAGAGACAAAATCTCTCTTGGTTTAGAATCCATGATACAAATCAGTCTAATCTGATCATATGTCAGATGAATACTCTTAATTGTGCGAAATAATAGAACATTTTTTCCCCATTATATTTGGGGTTTATTAAAGTATATTGTTAAAGTGTTGTTGAACTGATTGTGACTCATTTCAGCCTTTTATGGGGTTTCCAAGGAGCATAGATGAATAAAATTCACACATCATCCTTTGCACATAATTATTATTTAAAATTTAGCATTACACAAAACCTTTCCCTAAGATTACTCAAAAATAATGTGACTAAGTTTCCTGGACTGTCTTGTTTTTCTTTTTTCCTGCTCACTCTCTGTTAATGTTACTGAAGAGTGAAGTGGCTAAGATAGTAGCAAACTAGAGCAAAAAGGTCCATAAGTTAGCTAATAACCTCTTGAATAATTGAACATGTAATGTAATTATTTATGGAGGTAACAGCATTGGTATTTACAAGGGACACTGAAATGTCTACCTTCTTTTGGGATAAATTTTTAGCCATTGATGTATCTAGCAAATAGTTTTTGTAAAACTGAATTAATACTACTCCTGATGTAGCCATAATAGGATAAGCACTGGATCGCAAGGTCAGTTTGCACCACAAGGTCAGCGGTTCAAACTTACCAGCACTCCTTGGAAACCCTATATAGGAGCTGACTCAATGGCCCTTAACAACAGCAACAACAACAACATTTACTGAGAAAACGGATATTCACAGTGCCTGGAAAAGTTTGTGTGAATATCTGTTGAATGTCTAGGCATTAGGTCCATCATTAGGAAATGCTCACTTGGTGTTTCAACCGATCCTAAATTTTTACTGCAAATGATTAGAAATAATTAAGATGGTGTTTCTTGTATGTTTTACATATTTCTCTCTTCTATTTGTATAGTTGACCAGATGTTTTGGGAAGTTATGCAGTTGAGAAAAGAGATGTCATTGGCAAAGCTGGGATATTTCAAAGAGGAACTCTGATGCTCTCTTCTCCTGGGAACATTCATGAGCCTCCCTGAATAACTGGAAAATGGCTGAATATTTTTTATGGTTACTAGGTATTTATTTCCAAGAAGTAGTGGGCCCAAGACTTTTTCACTCTTTTGAAAATTACACGAAGAAGTACTGTGATTTGTTTTAAACTGATTTATGCTGTGTTTGCTTATTCTGTAGTTCAACACATTATAAAGAAGAATTACAAGTGTACTAGTGATTGTAATTTATAGTTGCAAAATACAAAAAAGCTAAATAAATACATGTTAGATTGAATGTGTTTTGCTTTTTCTTTGTCTCTGCTTAACATTCCATATAGGGTCTTCTCAACAACCTAAAAGGCAAAGAAGAAGGCTTGGTTAATAGGACTCAGCTTTCATTCCCTCACTAGAATGGTGGTTCTAACTTTATTTGTTTTATTTATTGGGCTTTGAAAAAAAAATTTTTTTACTGCAAAAAGATTGCAAGTTATTTAATTATTCTGCTCTCTGTAATTAAATTCCTTTATTATGGTTATTTGTTAAGTATAATATTTATAGGACAGCCACATTTTATCCCAGACATGCATCCTTGAGCAAATTAAAAGAAGGTATTCATACTTTCCATATGCTGATCACTGTGTAATGGGCATTGCGGGGACATAGAGGTAAATAAACAGCTTGTTGTGGGCCCAGAGGAGTTTGATGGTGTGTGGGTTGAAAGAATAATACATGCAAAATATATACTGATCATAGAATTACTTAATCTGTAAGTTCCAAGTTGTAAAACTGCTATTGTATATAGGAGCTACTTAGTACAATTAAAAGTAAAAAGGCTCACAGACCTATTTCTTGATAGTTATTTTAATATGAAATAAAAGTATAAGAATATTGTTAGTAAACATATAAAAGCAGAAAGAAATGAGCCACTACTTCAGTCTCTTCATCCAGAGAGAGCTACTTAAATGTTTCATAGACACCAGTCTTTCCATTTTTAGATACTATCTACATATATAAGCACATATCTGAAATTAAAAAAAAAAAACTTGCTTTTTTTTTTAAACTAATTTTTCCCCTCTTGATAAAATACCATTTTAATTAATGTATGATTATGACAAAATTCAACTTAGTTGTTTTTGAACACTGTATTCCTTTTTAAAAAACCATGCTGTGATGAGTAAGTATCCTTATATGTGTACTTCTAAATACTGTTAGTTTTTTTTCCCTTTATGAGAATACCTAGAAATAAAATTGTTAGATCAGTTGTAAAATTTTAAATTTGCATTGTGAAAATACCCTAAAGAGAAGTTGAACCAGTTTATATTCACAGCAACAATCAGTGTGAAAGCTAGTTTTCTGAAGATGGTTTTTCCTCGCCCATTCTATTTCAGAGACTTGAGCAACTTACTTATAGACACCTCAGTCACCAGGCTGAATGGGAGAGAGAAAAAAAGGCTTATAAATGTTATGGCTGAAACCACCATTACCATACTCAGCTCTAGAATTTGAACCTAGAATTTTATTTCTTAATAAATATTTTAATATGAACGTATAATAAAAATATTAGTAGGTATTCAAAGCTTCAGAAGATTTTTCACACAAAGACAAATTGAAAACCCTTTTTGAAGAAAGTTATCAAAACGATGGTAGTTCTCCAAATTGATCTATGAATTCAGTGCATTTCAAAATTAAGTTCTAACATTCTCTCTAGAATTAAAAAAATTATTTAAAATTTATGTGGTAAAGAATGAAGAATTACCAAGGCTAAAGAAAAATGTTGAGGTATAGGAATTTGTCCTACCAGGACATTGAACATGGAATGAGGGATGTCATTGCTGATGTCAGGTGGATCTTAACTAAAAGCAGAAAATACCAGAAAGATACTTACACATGTTATATTGACTGTGCTAAGTCATTTGACTGTGGATCATCACAAATTATGGATAACTGCAAAGAAGGGGAATTTCAGACACTTAATTGTGATCATGCGGACCCTGTAAATAGACTAGAGGCAGTCATTCAAATAGAACAAGGGAATACTGTAATTTGAAATCAGAAAAGGTGGGTACCAGAGATGTAGCCTTTCCCCATACTTATACAATTTGAATGCTGAGCAAATAATCTGAGAAGCTGAATTTTGTGAAGAATTTACTATCAGAAGTAGAGGAAGACTCATTAGCACCTTGAAATAATGCAGATGACATAACAATGAACTTGAAGAAGAATGTTGGAATAAGTACATACTGATGAATATCAAAGACTTTAGTATGGATTACGTATTAACATAAAACAATGAACATAAATCAATTGGTCCTAAGCAACATTATGATGAAAAATACTGGAATTGTCAAGAATTTCATTTTACTTGGATTCACAATCGCCCATGGAAGCAACAATCAAGATATCTTTGCATTGGGCAAAGCTACAAAAAAACCTCTTGCATGTATTAAAGTGCAGAGAGGACTAAGGTGTGCCTAACTCAGGCAGTGGTATTTTCAGTCACTTCTGTACGTCGTAAAGCTGGGCAGATGAATAAGGAAGACTGATGAAGAATGAATGCCTTTGAATTATGGTGTTGCAAAGAATATTGAATATCCCATAGACTACCAAAAGAATGAACACATTTGTGCTGGAAAAGAATAGTCAGATGCTCCTTAGCAAGAATGGTGAGACTTCATTTCAAGTACATGTTATCAGGAGAAACCAATCCCTGGAGAAAGGGCATCGTGCTAGGTAAAGTAGAGGGTTAGCAAAAAAAGAGGAAGATCCTCAATGAGATGGATTGACACAGTGTCTCGGTGACTGAAACAGTGGGCTTCAGTAGAGCAGTGATTAAGAGGAAGGAACCGAGCAAACGTTTTTATGTTTAGGTAGGGTTGCTTTGAGTCCTTATGTGGTGCTGTTGTTTAAGCCCTGGACTGTTAAACATACAAGGTCAGTGGTTCATACCCACCAGCCACTACTTGGAAACTCTATACAGGGTCGCTATGAGTTGATGGCACTTAACAGCAGCAGTGTTTTTCTCTAATCTTTCACATTTATCACTCGTTACTCTGCTGATGAAAAGTAAAAGTATCTATCTGGGTGAAATGTTAGAATCCAGAGCCATCATTTGACCATAGATAGTGTAGTGACCTAGTTCCAAAAAAACTTTAACTAGAAGTTTCCCTTGGATTTAGGCATAGGACACATTTTTTGCTATCTTAATTCATATTTTACTTGTTACGTGCCATCAACTCGGTTCTGACCTATAGCGACCCTGTATAGGGTTTCTGAGGAGTGACTGGTGAGCTTGAACCACCGACCTTGCGGTTCAAACCAACTTTGCAGTTCAGCGCATTAACTCAGTGCCACATAGGACTCCATGTTTTACTTGTGCCATCAACTCGGTTCTGACTCATAGGGACCCTGTATAGGGTTACTGAGGAGCAGCTGGTGAGTTTGAACTGCCGTCCTTGGCAGTTGAACCGGTTTTGGAGTCAAGTGCTTATGCTACAGTGACTTCTTCCTTGCTCCTCACATCCAATCAGTAGCCAATTTCTTAAACCGTATCTTATTTCAGGCCTTAGTACTACCTACCCTGATCCTTAAGTAGCTTTTCAATTTGTCTAACTTTAGTTACTGTCTCTGTCAAGTAATTTTAACAGTTCTCTTTCTGAGTTAGATTTAATTCTATTATGCCCCTCATTCAAACAGAAGCCATTGATAGATAAGCTTAGAATTAATTTGTCCAGAGTAAAAGTAATTAAATATCCAAAACCTTATACAATGTTTCTCAGCTTATTTTTTAAATTTTCTCTACCGCTAGCAGGAACACCAGATAATAGTCTGTTCACCTGCACTCTCTCCCTGCTCGTATGTTTAAAGACGTTGTTGTTAGTGCTGTTGACTCATTTCTGACTCATAGTGATCCTATCTAGGGTTTCCGAGGAGCTGCTGGTGAGTTCAAACCTCACACCTTGTGTTTCAAACAGACCTTGCAATCTAGTGTTTATCCCACAGTGGCGTACCCCATTGCTTAAATTTCTTCAAATACAAGCTCTTGATGAAGCTTTTCCAGGTCCTTAAAAGATTGTTTTCCATTCTCTCGGCACTTTCCTTACCTCACCTCTTGGCAGAATCTGCCTTGAGATTAAAGTTTCTCATGGTTTTTCATACCCTGGATTTGAGTCTAGAAGGGCATGGACCATTACCTATTCATAATCGTATTTTCCATACCCAACAATGGAAATATTTTCAATTCATTGTGGCTCTGCTTAGCCCACAATGAATTGAAAATATTTTTCTTTGAGCAACTTTCTTTGATGACTTGTCTTTTTAGACCCAGAGCCCAGTGTTACCTTCAAAATGGGACTCTAAACCTGTTTTTTACCCCTAAGCAAATTAAAAAAAAAATGTTTGCTGAATTTCAAGTAGCAGTTTTTATGTTTTGTTTGAAACAATGCTACCTCATCTATGTGTTAATTCTAATTGCAATGAAACACATTTAGAATGAGGAAAATTGTATAAGACCATGAACTTGAACTGTTAAACAATGTCATGAAAAACCAGACTGGGAAGGGGACTGTTAATGTATTTTAAAAAGACATAGCCAAAGGAAATGCATAAATACAGGATTCTTGATTAGTAAAATGTTTGGGGGCAAAAGTGGGGATTACATATGATACTATTAATACATTTCTCATATATAGTAATGGTATTACATGGGAGAAAATCCTTATTAGAAAACATAACTGAATTGTTTTGGGGTAAAATATCAGTATGTTAGCAACTTACTTTCAAATAGTTCAGCCAAAGTAACAAGTAAATTTACATATCTAGTAAAGGCAAAAATGTAAAATAATAATTCGTAAATCAAGGTGAGTGGGTACTTCATGGTACTAGTCTTTCAATTTTTCTGTAGTTTAAAGTTTTTTTAAATGTTGGAAGAAAATGCAGTTCAGTAGTTTAATTTCCTAATTATAGAAGGGTGAGTCAAAAATTATCCATAGTACGGTTAATATTGAACGTCTATCCACATCCATGGCTGATGACAACATTAAGTGTGTGCGTAAAATGCTTCTGTCAAATAGATGAGTGACTGGATTATGTGGCAATTCATTTGCAAATCAGCCATGGCTCTGCTTATGAAATAATCCACAACAAACGGGTTTCAAAGTTTGTGCAAGATGGGTACCAAAACAACTCACAGAGGAACATAAAGTGTTTGGACATTTTCAAACAAAATTTGCACTGATACTCAAAGATAAAATTTCTTTAAAAAAATCATTACTGGTGATGAGACATGGATTCATCACTATGAGGCTGAGAGTAAACAACAGAGTATGAAATAGAAACCTGCTCAATCGCTGACCAAGAAAAAGTTCCAAAGCCAACCATCTGCTGTAAAATTGATGCTTACAGTTTTCTGGGATTCTCAAGGGCCAGTATTGGAACACTATTAGGAAAAAGGTTCAACAATCAACAGTGCTCATTACACTGAGGTGCTCACTGAAGACGTGAAGCCTGAAGTTTGGATTAAAGGCAGAGGACTGGTATCCAAAAAAATTGTTATTAGCATGACAATGCACATCCCCACACCTCTGCACATACTATTGGCACTACCAAAATTTCATTTTGAGATGTTCAAGCATCCTCCCTATAGTCCTGATTTTGCTCCATTGAATTTTCTCCTGAAAGCAGCCCTTCTAGGAAGAAGATTCATCTCTGATGAAGAAGTGAAGACAGAAATGCATTCGTGGCTTGCAGCTCAGCCTAAAACATTTTTAATAAGGGACTACAAAAACTGGTTGACAGATGGATAAAGTGTATTGAAAAACAAAGAGATTATGTTGAAAATGATGTGTTTGTCTTTTCTAAAAGTTGATTAAAATAAATTCTACAGCCATAGTATGGATAATTTTTTACTTGTCCTCACATTATTCTTAGGCTATTATTAAGTAGTTGGCAGCCCTGGTGGTGTAATGGTTAAGCACTTGGCAGCTAATCAAAAGATTATATGGTCCAATCCACAAGCCAGTCTATTGGAGGAAAGACCTGGTGATCTGCTGCTTTAAAGTTGAAACCAAAATCAAACCATCTGCTGTTGAATTGATTCCAATTCCTAGTGACCCTGTAGGACAGTGTAGAAGTGCTCAATAGGATTTGCAAGAGCAGACAACCTCATCTTTCTCCCATGGAGTTGCTGGTGGATTTAAACTCATGTTTAGCAGGAAATCTAATTGGGCAGTTCAGCTGTTGTATAAAGGAGCTCTGGTAGCGTAGTGGTTATGAACTAGGCTGCTAACCTCAAGATCAGCAGTTCAAAACTATCAACGGTTCTGTGGGAGAATGATGGGGCTATCTGCTCCAGTAAAGAGTTACAGCCCCAGAAACCCTGTACAGGGCTGCTGTGAGTTGGAAGCGACTCCACGGCACATAACCACCAACCAAACTGTTTGTTGTACAGGAGTCCTGGTGTGGCACTATGGGTTAATGCACTGGACTGCAAAGTGGGCTTGAACCACAAGGTTGTCAGTTCAAGCTCATCAACTGCAGGATCACTATGGGTCAGAACTGACTGTACAACAACACTGTTGTATAGAATCACTATTAGTTGGAATCAACTCATGAAACAAGAAGTGCAAACAAAACGTTTATTTGGTTATCGATTTGTATTTAGGAATGAAACCAGTTAATGAATAATTTTACTTGGCTATACGCTTTATTAAATCAGTAATACAGATTTTTTTTTTTAAATAGGAACTTCTTTTACTTTCTGATCTGTATTTTTAATGGAAAAAAAAAACTGGAGAAATAGGCTTGGTGTGTATTGGGGAATGTAAACTTTTATTATCAGTAAATTTTCTTATATTTAACAACTCCTAACTTGATTATCACAAGCTTTAAAAATTATTTGCTATTCTAGGTATCTAGGAGTCCTGTTGTGGCGCTGTAGGTTAATGCTCTGGACCACAAAGTCGTTTTGAACTGCAAGGTCGGCGGTTCAAGCTCACCAGCTGCTCCTCCGAAACCCTACACAGGGTCGCTATGGGTAGGAACTGATTTGAAGGCAGTGAACAACAACATAAAAGTAAATTCTATCGATTTGCCCCTTTTCTCTAGGTTTAAAAACAACAACCAGACTATCTTTTTCTTGATTATGGCTAAATGGATATGGCTGATAGAGACGAAGATGTAAATATATTGGTGTAAAAGGACAAATAAGAGATAAGACTGTATTTATTGCCCATTTATGTAATTACATGTGTCACTAAGGACAAAGGTCCTTAAAACAAAGACAAAAGGCGTGTAGAAACCATTCCAACCTTTAATAAGATAGATGGATATGCTTCCACTTCCTTCTTCATGATTGCATATCTTCCTAATTTTTTAGTTACGTTTTTCAAAATTGTCCATTTTCCTGAACAAATTGGATGTCTGAAAATAGGCTTCACTCCAGTAAAAAGAAAATGAAGTTTTTTCAAGAGCATTCATAGAATCGGAGTCAAGAGGACAGCACTTCCTGTGGTCTGATAAACCTCGTTCTCTGAACAAATATTGCCCAGACCATAGTACCATGGATATGGTGGGCGAAAATGAGGCTCTGCAGCAGTTTTTCGAAGGTAAGAGGTCAATCTCCAACATGCAGCCCTGCTCTTGATGGCACTGTTTCACCTTTTAAAAAGTTACTTAAACTTCATCTTGGGAGGAATGCTATCACAGCACAATAACGCTCCAGAAACTGAAATTAAAGGTTTGTATTTGCAGCATTTGTAGTACAAGAATAGGTATAGGTAGTGAAAGAAAATAAAAAAGGAATGTCAACATTAGAAATTGGTTGATGAAAGAGTCAGAGTCAGCTCATCTGTTGATTTTACTTGTCTCTATCTAGTGCTTAGTTTTGTTTCTTCTATCTTATTTTTTTAAACTTACAGGATTTGATGTTTTAAGTCTGAAATCATTAAGTATAATCCAAGAAAAATGTAAGGTTTTATTTAAAACATATTTTCTCTAAAATTAGTTTTTCTTTGAAATTAA